TAAAATGATTGTAGTTCTTAAAAGGCCTAACAGCTGTTAGTCTGTATTCAATGAGCCTAAAAAACAGCAGGCTGTTTGAAAAAATAGTAAGTAATTCTTAAAAGGCCTAACAGCTGTTAGTCTGTATGCAATGAGCCTGAAAAACAGCAGGCTGTTTGGAAAAATAATAAGTAGTTCGCAAACGGGCTACCCATTGCAAAAAGCCTAGTCTTTTTGCAAAAAAAACTAATTTTCCATATGGCCTACGAAATATACATATATATACACAACTAGTTTGGAACGTTCAATTATATTGTTGACACTAACTGTATATTGTAGTCAGTAATTATTAATGCTACACTTATACAATATATTAATATAATATATACACTCAATCAAAAACATTTCCCTGTATTACATTTTAATTTATAAAATTATTTCAATAAATATTAAATTGAAAATCAGCATTTTTTAAACTCACTTTTTAACATTTTTTAAAAATTACACTAAATATAAAATGATTAAATCTAAAGATTTATATATTTTTAATTTATAATTATTGTAACTTAGGTTTGTAAATATTACCTTGATTTTACAACACCTCTAATTGCAGACTGTAATAACCGGACAGGATAAAACGACTTTGGTTTTTTCTTAATTTCTACTTGAATCTATAATTTTAATGAGAAAATTAATTATTTTTGAAATATTAATTTATATTAATCAAATAGGATATTTTGAATTTTACCGTATTTAAACGAAGGGCCCTCTTTCTTTTTAATTCTGTTCTTAGATTAACAAGATCATTATTTTGTATAGTTACTGTTTTTTTTGCTTTTAAAACAGGATCTATTGACCTATATTCTATTTGCTTATTCGCAAGTTTGAATTTTTCCTTTTTCTTCAAATATTCATCATCTAATATTTTATTATTTTTACGGCGAACATTAGAAGATACAGATCTTGATCTAATTACTTTCTTTAATGGACTAGGTGATCTCGACTTAGATTTAATATTAAGAAGAGACTTACTTCTTCTCTTTAATGGAGACAGTCCTCTTCTTGTTGGCGAAATATCTTTTGATAAAGATCTGCGACTTCTCTTTGGAGATGGTGAACGATAGAGACATCGTGACTTTAGAGGAGAGTATCTCCTCGGAGAAAGATTGTTTTCCTTTAAAGGTGATAATCTTTTGAGTGATATTCTAGGTGATATGGAACTACGGTAGGCCCTTGAACTAAACGGTGAATATCTATATCCATCAGGAGTAGGAAATCTTCTTAGTGGAGACCTTGATGGTGATCTTTTTCGAAGTTTACTGTCAGGAGATATTGACTTCTTTCTATTACGTATTAATGGCGATTTTAAGGGAACACAAGAATTTAATAGAATGCATTGTGCTGGAGATTTTCTTATTTCCTCTAAAGTTTTAATTGTTTCTAGCTCTTCTTCGAGTGGATTAATTAGAGGTGTTAAATTGTTAACAACCTTTGGTGTTATAACATTTGGTTCACCAACATTCACAGTTAATTTATTTTTTATTTTCAACTCCGTACTTTTTTCGTTCTTATTTTTATTGTTTTGTTTTATACTTTTCTTATTTTTTTTTGATGGTTTAACATATACACCATTTATTTCAGCTTCCATAATATCCATTAATTTGTCAAGATCGTCCAGATCTTCTTCTTTTTCCCCTAGGAATACGACATAACCATCATCTGATTCGTCTTGTCCATCTCTTTCTGTTTCACTGTCTTCACTTTCTAAACTTTCTAAACAATAACAAAATGTTATTTCTTTCTTTTAAATAAAATATAAAAGTAAAAATGATGTAACAAACCAAGAAAATTAAAAAAAACCTATTTCCATAATACATATTCTTAAAATAAAATACATTTTTAATCTTTCAGTTAAGTAAGTAGTTATTTTAGGGATTGACATTAAAATAGAAAATTGTACCTTATAAAATAATTAGTAAATCCTATATATTCAAACTACTTTGATTTATCATTGTGGTAATTGAAAGGCTTGGTGCAACAACAAGTTGTTCAGTATGAATAAAAATCAATTTTTTTAACGACAAAATTTTAAAAAAAAAGGTTTCAATATCTTTTAATCTTACGAATAGTAACCAAAAAGTATAAACACATTTGGTTTTTCTACATTCGTAAGATTTTGCAAAAATAATTATCTAAGTTAAGCTGATATGGAGTTTTTGGTTTTTTGCCACAACTAATTATTATCTATACTGTAAATATAAATAAACAATTGTTTTGACCAACTTAAATATTGATTTATCTTGGTATTCTATTGGTGTTGTTATTTTATATTCTGGAACCTTTAATATTCAAATAAATAAAAAAAATATACAAAATTAGGTTATGGAATTTTTTATTTTTATTGTTAAGTCATGTTTTAAGCACAGTATAGGCATAGATGCAACAAGGTCAATAATCTGGAGGGGGGGGGGACTACAGCCCTCCTATCAAAACTTAAAATAACCTGTAGATTACCCCTACTCTTATATACAATTTTAATATTTTTTAGATTCTGAGTCAAGTTGGATTTACTGCAATATGCCTTTTTTTTATGTGACACTATTGTGAGTTAAGTATGCTGTTTGCGGTATGCCATGTAAAACATGGAAAATTTATGGAGGGTAAGCTAAATCTTGGTCTGGTGGGACTAAGCTTCTCCCTAGTTGTTCATATGAGTATAGGCAGAATAGAACTTTACAAAATACTAGAATTTGTTTATTTATTTAAATGACATTGAAAAATATACTTAATAAAATTTAATAAAAATGAATGTGAATACTGGTGTATACAAGAAGCCAATGTCTTGAGTTCATGTTTATGAATAAATTAATAACTGAAAAAAAAGTAACATTCCAATTTTTTTCACATTCATTATGATCTGTCATAAATAATATTAATTAACCAAAATTTATAGTGCATACTAAAAAATAACATTAATTAACGATAAACATTCAAATTTAAATTAATCACAAGTACACGACGATCAAGATAACATAGAATGATAAATATTGATACTAAAATCAACAGTAGGTACTACTTACATAGTGTGACCACAGTTTGGGACAACAACCAAATAACTCCGGAGTTATCTAGTTGATACACCAAAATCAAAAACAAGATAAAATTAATTTCATTAAAAATTATATATATTTTTATCGGATTTAACTGGTTATTGCACCTAAATGTAGATAATTTTTTTCCTACACAACAATCCACCAAAATGTACAAAAAAAGTCGACTTATCTCGTTGTAGTACCAAGCCCTTCAATTGTATTAACAAGTAAGCAACAATTTAAATGATGTTTAGCGTGTTTTTAAATACTCGAACACAGATAAGTATTATATTATTCATAAATATTCAATAAAACATATGAATATTGCTTACATCTATAAGAAAGCAAGTACAATTTACTATACTATACAATAGTTTTTAACTTTTATTCAAATTACAATATTCGTATAACAATATGTATAGATATTTCTTTTCTCTTAACACCTTGTGTTACGGGCTTAGCAACCACGAAGACCCCGAGCTCTTACTGGTGGAAAGCTTTAAGCGAGTGATTCTAGAAAGTAATTCCTAATGTAGGACAGCAGCTATATTAGTATTATACTAAGGCGGAGACAAAGATGTCAGAAAGGCTTAGATATGAATAAATAAGAGCGAAAATGAATGCAGTTTATGTTCTCATCCTTGGAAGGCAAAGAAAAACCACCATATTATTTTATCAAGTTTAATTCTATCATGGCAATGAAATTTATAACCACGGTCCTTAGTCTCCGACAGACCTTAAATAGTCAGAGGGTGCTATGAGTCTCCAGCTCAGCTTTGAAGATTGCAACTCGGAATATGAAGAGTTTGGTTGAAGATGGAAAGTTGGAGAACGTTTTAAAAGAAATGGAGAGAATGAAACTCAGTATTCTTGGAGTGAGTAATACACAATGGAGAGAGTCAAATAATTTTTTAACAAGAAATGGTGAACACAAAGTATATCATTCAAGCAAGCAGCAGTGAATCAAGGCATCGCTATCACGTTAGGGTACTATCATAGTGGACAAAGAAGTGGATAAATCTGCGACTGAAATTGTGCCTACCTATACCAGAAAGGGTTATGATGCTTAATATTGATTGTAATAAAGGGGTTAATAATCTAATATAAGTTTATGTTCAAGCCGCAGATAAGTCAGACGAAGAAATAGAAAACTTTTACGCAGACATTAATACCCTTATAGTAACAACGAAGAGTCATGTCTAACTATGTAACTATGATTATGGAAGACTTTAATGCAAAAGATGAGAAAATTATAGTAGACAGATGTAAAGGAGCTTTTGGGTTAGGTGACAGGAATGAAAGAGGTGACAGGTTGATTGAGTTTTGTCAAAATGAAGAAATGGTTGTGATCAATATAATAATTAAACAGCCCAAGAGGCGTTTGTATTCTTGGAAAGCTCCGGCTGATGGTCATAATAATAATATTATATAGGCTCTAACAGAACGCATTATTAACGCGCGTGAAAACGCTATTAATGTCACGTAAATTACTGTCGTGTTGTATTCAATTCCAAGTCATATTAGATATCAAATATATGTTGTCGACATAATTAACGTGGCGCTAGAACGCGACGATAGAAAGCGACGTTGTACAAAATCACAAAATCACGCATGGTAGTGCGTTATTTTTGGCATTCAGATAATGATGAAAGAAGGAATACCTACATAAATACAAGTATAAATAAATGTTAATAATAAATAATTCACTTCCGCTTTTGTTGACTTTCAGTTAATGCGCATAAAAGTAAAAGTTCATCTTTGTCTGAACTAGCGGACGTATTTTCAAATTTATATTCAAACTACACCTCGAAAACGTACGAACAATACGACAAAATATAATAAAAATAACAAGCAATATCGATTCCTAAGAACCATTCTATAATGCGACGCTTTTTGGTTTCTGCGTGATGTGGATAACGTCCGCGACAGCATTAAGACCGTGACGGTACTAACGCGACGTTAATAACGCGTTCTGTTTGACAGAGGTATATGTAGTTTTTTTGTTACAGAGAAATATTTTAATGGTGCCACCAAAATGAAAAAAAAAAATTTGCTTTTAAAAAATGTATTATATTTACTCAATCTAATTTAATAATTAATTATAAAATTAACTATAAAAAAAAGTAATAACATTATATAGGGTGAGGGTCCACGGGAAAAATCCCTTTTTTCCTACAGGCCTATCCACCTCTGCTGTTTGACAAGACTTTTAGAAATCAAATTAATTATAAAAAAATGTCGTAATGCTGTAAAATGTGTTAAAGCATATCCTGGAGCTGAAATTTCATCAGATTACAACCTTGTAGTTTCTTGTGTTAAAATTAAGCTGAAAAAAATAAAATGTTAGTAATGTAATGAAATCTTGGATCTATCAAAACTAAAAAAGGATGGAGTAGGATAGAAATTGAAGGATAACATAAGCAACAAACTATTAGAGGTTAAATATAAAAACCAAAATACCAATGCTGTTAACATCAAATGGAAAAACATTCAATCAATTTTACTGAAAAAATTTAAAGAAGATTTAATGCCTGATCGAGTAAGGAAGAAGGAATAAATTACAGAAAACATTTTAAACATTACAGAAAGGTCAATTGAAAATTTTTGTTAATTATTGTGCCACATCATAATTTAGGCGGTCATTGGTTTTATAAATAAGTAAATATTTGCATAAATTTTACATTCTAAATGCTTATATACATTTTATATTTTAATGGAAATATAATACTCTATATCTCATTTAAATTACTTTCATCATTCAAATTATGAACATAATTTGTCTTTGTTCCATCGTTAGTCAATACTTTAGAAGTAATGGGCTTAGGTGAATTGCTTGATACCAAAACATTGGCATGGGAATCACTTTCGCCATTAGTTGGTACAAAAGAAAATAAATTATTGTTCGCATCAGAAAATCTTCGAAAACTAAGCTGTAAAAATAGAGTAATTAATAATCAAATATAAAAATAGTACATCTAAAATGCAATTAGTAGTAATTCTAAAAACAGATATGTTACTATAGGACTAAAAAATAAAAATACTAAAGGCTTTATCATAACCTTCAACTATGTTCATATAATGTAGGAAATATGCAGACAATGTATTATTGAATTGTTATGCTAGAACAAAGTGAAATAGTCTTTCAATACACAATAAAAATATATATATATATATTAATGATAGGATGAAATATAGAATAACTTACAAATGTACAAGGGAGAAATATTGCCAACAATGTAAAGAAATAACTAATGTTTCTGTATCTCTTAAGTTAATATAAAATAAAAAGCTCTAATATAAATTCAGAACCACTTAAGTCAAAAAAACAAGCTTAGGAGGTAAATGATTAACACGTTGACTGCCATACGACCGCTGGCAGTCATGTAATTGTTTTTCCCAATAGGCCACGCTATAATTTTGATGTCATTCCTTAAATGTGCAAAGATAAATTTATAGAACAAATAATCGGAAAAGAAAAATATTTAAAGGTATCAAAAATCTAAAGTAAACGATAAATCCATCGATTCGAATTTTTTTTTCTTTACGCCACCATCAAAACATAATGATTATTAGTTTAACGTCACATTAAATATTTTGATTTAAAAATAAATGTTAAAATGACGTGGTCATATAGCGTATAAATAAAAACAAGGTGCGACCGTTATTAAATAAAATATACATTAAATAAATAAAGATACTTAGAACAAAATAATGGATAATACAGGAATTGTTTGAACGCACCGTCGCGGAGCCTTTGAAAAATATTTATCGCTAGCCGGCCGCGCGACACTCGCGAACGTGCGCTCTGAAGACGATTATGAAATATGGTGAGAGGAGGAGATGGTGATATTCAAGAACAACAAAAGACCAAAGAAATGATAGACCAATTAATAATATGCCCTTGGGCACAAACCAAACTTATTATTATTAAGTTTTACAGACAATAAGTAAATAAAAACAATCTTATCTCGCGAGGTGGTGATAAGAGTCCAACTGATAATCGCTACACCTGACTCCTAGATGGCAGTGTAAATAAGCACTGCTACCAACCGGCAGACCGCAACGGACAACAATCGTGGCGATGGATGGCTTATGTCGGGAACGAAGTTGGTACTACTGGCGTACGCGACGCGCACGACAAACCGGCTTGTAAAAAGGACCACGGGTGAAAACCACGTGGCGCCAACGAAACCCGAGTGATCGCGAACCGAAAACATGTTGATGTACGGAAAACGCACTCAAAGAGGAACTGTCTAACACGCACAAAAGCGAGTTCATGAAATACGTGCACGGTGATGGCACAATATCACTGTCCACCAATCAACCGGCGCGATAAACGGGGCGTAAGGACGTAAGACCGCGAAAGTGACCACGAGGTCGACAATATATAAAAAAAAAACGCGTTGACACACACACGAGATCGACCAACGGTCGCGGATCAAACGCGCGACAAACGACAATCGCGTACAAAAAGGAATCGGAGTTAGGAAATAACACACACGGAAAAAAGGCGGCGCAGGCGCGATAGTTATCTGGGGTGCACCTAGTTTGCGCACATTTACTTAAATTACAACTCGTTTGCGCACATTTTTACAACTCGTTTACGCACTGAATATTTCTAGAGCAACCACTCGTTTGCGCACAGATTATTTCTAAAGCAACCATTCGTTTGCGCACACAATTATGGATAAATCCGTTATTTTCGACAAAACCAATGTATTTTTATTTTATTTCGAAACCTTTAAAATGGTTATTGATTATCAATATAATGTTTACAAAATGTTGTGCGCTATCGAGTTGTTCCTTCTATAATATGTTGTACACAAACGAGTGGTACCTTCTACAATAATTTGTGTGCAAACTAGTTCCAGGTTTTAACTGAACAATTTTAAAATGTGCGCAAACTAGTTGTAGCCAGTTATCGGCCGGCCAAGCGCAAACGTATGTCGCAAGAACAAACAAGTTTTTCAGCACAAACCACTGCGATCGACGGCCCGGGCGACCGGGTGCGCGTCACCGGTGGGGTTAAAAAAGAGGGGGTGCCGACGGTGGTCTTCGCGAATCCTCGACGCTCGTCGCGATGGTGCACAAACAGGAATATTATTAAGATTTCATCTGCCAAAGGGACTTATTATCAAGAAAATTAACTACATATTTGGTTACCATTATACGTTATGAATAGAACCTATAACTTCTTATAAAAAAATGAAAAATTTGAAATACTAAAATAAGAAACTAAAATTCAATATTGAAATTGTCATGCACAACAAAATATGATAAAGAATGAATGTTATAATTGGCTAAGTAATAAAGTAACTCTAACATGTTTTCAAAAGCTATGAAACTTGTATAATATTATATTATATTTAATACTTACATTGTTATCCATTTTGCTTTAATCGATTCACTTAATTCAATTTTGGAAAATAAGATTAACGTACAAATGTGGACAGTAAGATTAATGAACAAATAAATACACATAAACGAGAAACTAAATCAATATAAATATATTGCTAGGATATTTATCTAGACCGTGAAATACATAGAAAAGGAGAATAGGTACTTAAGAGAAAACTAAATAGCCAGAACAGTATTTACTTTTTATTATAATAAAAGCCTATATATCGGCAAAGGTGCAATGGCCAATGAACATAATACAGAGAACCAAAATCTTGTATTGTAATCTGTATAATATTAAAATATAATTAATACTTACATCGTAATCCATTTTGCTTTCATCGATTCACTTAAATCAATTTTGGAAAATAAGATTAACGTACAAATGTGGACAATAAAATTAATGAACAAATAAATATACATAAATAAAAAACTAAATCAATATAAACATATTGCTAGAATATTTATCTAGACCGTGAAATACAAAAAAAAAAGGAGAATAGGTACCTAAGAGAAATGTCCAAATTAGTTAAATTTTGTTTAAAGACCATTTCTATTGTGGTGACGTAAACAACACAACGCGAATCGTCTAAGTTGTTTACAATATTGTCAGTGGATAAGGGAAATCCCATGTTCTAGAATATGCGATGATTATATCTCGTTAAGGTAATTTCGAGAATGTTCTAGATAATCGACGCCGATATATATATATACCGGCTGGTCAGACGCTCATTCAATCAGTCCGTGAGTACAATCCGCGACACATCGTGAATTACACTCCGCTATATATTCGGCAATTCCTCCGCAACTGTAACGCGTATCGACATTTGTACATACATATTTATATATTATAGTGTCTATTTTAATTAAATTAAATTGTGAGTGATTTTTATTACCTTAAATCCCACACTATTCTCTGCAAGGCTGGGCATTAACGAGTTAAAAAGTTAAAGTTAAGTTACTTTTAACTAAGTTATTTTACGAGTTACTTTTATTTTCAAATATAACTTCCAGCTTAACGAGTTTCTTTTTTTTTTTTAAACAACTTCTAACTTAACAAGTTAATTTATTAATTTGTCCTAATATAAATTTCATATATTTAAAATTATATTTAGTACTTACTAAGTACCTACTGTAATTAATACAATTACATATGTTTATTGAAAATAGTTAGACTTCCATTATATTGTGTTATTTGTTAAGCTTTGATAAAAATATATGATAATATATTGTACATAAAAAAAGAAAATTAACTTATTTTTAACTAAGTTAAGTTACTTTTTTTTCAAATTAACTTTTAACTTTTAACGAGTTAAATAAATAAGAAAACTAAATTTTAACTTTAAACTTAACTTACATCTTTCTGTATAAACTTAACGAGTTAAAATAATTAGTTAACTTGCCCAGCCTTGATTCTCTGACATATGAGATACAATTCTTTGTGCCAGAATAGTCAAAATATTTGTTAAAAAACTTTTATATTCCTAAGTTTTACAGATTTCAGCTTTTAATTACTACATATAAAAGCTTTTTTATTGATTATTATTAGGGCGCGGATTTTTATGTAATAAAAAAATCAAAATATGTAAATATTTAAGTTCTTATTTTTGCTAAAATATGTATTAAAAAACGTAAAATATTTAACAAAAAAAAATCGGTATTTTCCATTAATTTTTAATTATTAATTAATAATTATTCATTTAATCATCTTCAATGTTGTCTTCTTCGGAACGATTGGCTAAGACGTACATTTAAAGATTTTCAAATTTTAATGTACGGCGGTTGATTTCAAAGTCAACTCGTAGCGGCTGAGGCTGTATTCAACGTCACCCGAGGTTAATGGGGCATATTTCATACCACATACATCGAATGGTGTTACTTCAATATAATTTGATATATTTTCATTTATATTAATAATATTATATCAAATAGTTTTAATTTTTTTGTAAACCAACGTATTACCCAGTACGTAGTTAGATTAATTTTTTTTATAACTCCAGATTCTACTTGAACTTAATTTCATTAAATTTTTGCATTTTCCACTATCGCGAAACTTTCAACTATTGTTAGATTCAATGTTTCTAATATTTTATTATTTTAACCATAAAAAAAAAAATTTTTTTTTCGAAATATTTGCTAAATTATTTTGCAAGTTATTAATTTACATATCAGAAATAATAGCAGTTGTAGTATCTGATGTAAGATTTGAAATATCTTCTTTCATTTAATTACAATATAATTATTGTAAATTAAATAAAAACTGTATTGAAATGGTATGAAAATATGAAATATTTACAAAATATGTAATTATTAATTAAATATTTAAAAATATGTATTTACATCAAAATATGTGATAATATGTAAAATAAAAAAGGTCTCATATTATTCAGGGTGTTATGTAACGTGCTTATTTTTAATTAGAATTGAGAAATTCACATTCAATAAATATATGTAATTACATAAAAATCCTAGCCCTAATTATTATTATATAAATAGTATAAAAATGCTAAATTAATAAATATTTATATTATTTATTTATATAATTATGTAGCAATATGTAGCAGATGAAATACCTTATCGAATGGCATGGCAAAGTAGGGCTAGAACACGGTAATCTCCTAAATCCTCTGGTGAAGTTAAAATAGTGTGTTAGTAGTTTCAGGACTATGGAAAGGATATACATTTAAAGAGATGAAGTAGAATTTTTATATTCCATGAAGAAAAGAAGAAAGTAAAATTTAATCTTAAATATTATGATAATTAACATAATTATTAATTAATGAAATTGTGTCTTTAGGCACTGGCTACAATTGCCCCTTGTGCTAATTTTTTGGGGGGTGCTAAAATTTTGTGGTCGGAAATTTGCTCACTTGTGAATGATTGAACTTTTAAAATTATTTTGAAATTATTTTTTTTTTTGTTTTTAATAATAGTATCATAAATTAATGTTAATGTATTTATAGCAATATAGCTATCCAGAATGTCAATAAACATAAGTAATTTATAATAATACGGCGTGCGGTGGCATGCCTACTACACAAAAATAACATTCATTTTAGAATATCTAAAAGGTTCATGATGATCTATCTCCTATATTTTCCGTGGGTAGGCCCCTTAGAGAGGCATCAATTTTATTTTGCCCCGGGGCGCAAAATATTTTAATACGGCACTGATGGTGTTACATGAATACAAAATTAAAATGTTTAGTTAAAGGCTCAATTTAAAATAAAAATGAAGTTTCAATGTTACAATATACTGGGAAACATAATCATACACCACTAGATAAAGATGAGTTTCAAGCAGTGTTTTTTATTGGAAAAATTATGCTCAGATGTTTGGAAAATTATAGTAAACGTAAAAAATTATATGAAGAAGAATTAATTAATTAAGTAAGTTACTATCAGATATATTAACTATTAATAAATATTTTTAAGTAATTAATGTTTAAAATGATAAAATTAATTACACTGGTATTGAAAACAGTGTATCATAAGCATACGCACGTGAAAAAATAAAAGCTAGAGAAAAAGTTCATTAAAAAAACGTTCAGCACATGAAAACATGGAATATTCCTGTAAACCCTTACAGTTTGTCATTTTTTTGAATGATGACCACTATAGTAGTGTTAAAGATGAAGTGAATGATGAAGATGATTTTACAAAGGATATTATATACTCTGAAGATGAGGATTTTAATGAAAAAGATAATCCACATAGTGTTTATTCTGAAGAACAAGGATTCAAGTATTCAGTTATTAATGTAAAAAATAAAACTAGGTACAATATTTAAAATTAATAATGAATAAGTTATTAATAAAATTTAAAAGATTTCTAGAATGTATAAAAAAACAGAATGAATATAAGGCTCAAGGTGAAATGTTCAGAGGCGAAAATAGTGATTGGTTATTTGTTCTTCATGATTTTACCCATGATTATTGACCACACAAAGACTAGTAAAATGATGTACTAAAATTAGTGATGGGTCAAACCCTGATTTTTTAAATCGAACCAAACTTGAACCGAACCTATTATGATTTTAAGTCGAAGTCGAACTCGAACTCAATACTTTTTATCATGTACATTGTACCTACCAACAAATTAAATCAACCATGATTATTAATTACTATTGTATTTTAAGTTTTCGTATTGCCTATTCGGCATTTTAACTTTTAAGTCTAAGTAATTGTATTATTTACAATACATTTAAATTTTTAATCATTTTTTTCTTATTATTTTTATTTTTCAAAACCAGTATTGTGCTCTCTCTCGTGTTGTCTTGTAGCTTATAAAATATTCATTGAGTATTGAGTATTAAGTGTAATATGACAATACAATCAGTACATTTTAATAATGTATAAAAAAAAATAGTAATAATAACTATAATTCACAAATATAGAATGATTAGTAAAATTTATAATGTAAGACGTAAATTGTAAACATGTTTTTATTAACAGCGCAGTCGCGTATTGGCATATTACCATGGATTTACCCAAAATAGATTTTAACCTCTACAATAAATATAATAAAAACAAAAATAGCTAATTTATGAATGTAGATACACTGCCTCTATTGGTGACAAACAACTTATTAATGTTTTCATCGGCGGAGGATGGATGTGTAACATGTGACTGGAAAAATTAACATTATTATTATAAATAATGCATAACGTGCCCGCTACAGATTATCACTTTCTATCGCCAATAGTCTAATTATTTCTAAATAATCGTTATCAATTTTTATTTTTCAAAAATAACTTTTAAAGAAATGTACAAATTTTTGGTTTTCGAACTATCGTGGCCAGTAAGTCTTGTTTGACAAATATTTTTAAGTTCGATTTTCAAACAGTAAAATATGCTTGATAGTTCGGTTCGATTTTTTTCCTGCCGAGTTCGAATTTCGAACCGAACCGAACATCAAAGGTTCGGTTCCGTTCGGTTAGAGATTCGAACAGTTCGACCCATCACTAACTAAAATATGAATACAAATTAATGGATAATATTTATATATTTATTAACTAGATTTCTAACATATTATTATACTATAACATTAAATTTTAATTTTACAATAGATAATAATATTCACATTAAAGAGAATACGTAATATCTTGTTATGTTCTGTTTATATTTATGAAAAAATAAAATTAGATTTTACTTGAAACATTTAATTTGCAATTTATAAAAGAAAACGTATTTTTATTGAATTTCTATAGAAGTTCTTCAAATGTTATTTAACTGCGATAACGTGTTTCAATGCTAGTTTTAATAAACTTTAGTACTTTAAATTCTTTTTAATTTTCATATACTCAAGAAATTTTAAATGCTTAGCAAATGGA